TCCTGCTGAGCATAGAAAACCTAGTGAGCAAAGCAATGGATCTCCTCCTGCAGTAAAAGGGCTTTTGACCTGATCTGGTATAAATCTATAGCATTTATAGTCTTGCAACAGTGAGTAGGAGAGCAGACAAAGGGCATTATAAGAAAGGGCAAATCAAGCTATAGAAATGGGGAAGGAAGGGAGAGATTAGAACAGTATAGGAGAGCAAACGAGGGAAAACGACTGCCAAAACCAAAGCAGGAATCTTTCTTAGGGGAGTGACAGGCTGAGCAAGCAGTGAGGAGTGAAGGAGTGAAAGGTTCCTACATAAGAGAAGCCATTCATTTGTAAGGGCAAGTGATCTGTATAGAGGAATAAGGAGAAGGAAAACATATGATGCAAAATATACTATAGGAGACCATGGAAAGAAACAGGTTAAGGCACACAAAAGAATAAAAGAAAATTGGTCAGTACAATTCTGGCACTTCAAGGAAAACAGAAGTGCCTTTTACACTCACTGCACCATGGTGTGTGATGGACCCTGTTTTGTGATAATCTAACATGAGACTTTATAACATGTAATAAAAAGCTTTTCTTTCTACATCTTGGACATAAAAAGAAGGGAGGGTTCATTACAAAGACAATCCATGAGGGTGAAATAAACTGTGTTGGTTCCATTTTGGGGAAGTTAGAGGCAAAGACACAGAAATAGGGTTGGGGTTTTTCTTCATTAAAATAAAACCAAACACGAAAGAAAGAAACTATGTTACACTTACCATTTTCTCCTCTTTGGCAGGTGGACTTCGAAGGAAAAAACACAGGGGAGCGAAGAGGATATCCACAATCCCTATAATTGTCATGAGCCATGGAAATCCGATGGCCTTTGCAATGGCACCGCCAGCAGAGGGACCTTGTATAAATAAAACCCCTTTTCTGAAGATCCCTCAGACACATTTGCAGCAGTCACTTTAAGCAACGATGGGTTTATATACAAAAGCCCTGCTTTACAAATTGATTTGAGGAATGTAAAGACATGTTTGTTATTATAACATAAACCTTTCCTATACTTAAATTAGAGAAGCTCTTGTGATATCTGTACCATGCACTCAAGAAGGCAGGGGAAAATGGGGTTATTCCTCTCTCAGACTATGGGGAGTACAGCTGCGGTGTTAGTTTTAACTGTTCCGAGGGATATCCTATTTGTGTTCAGTGTCTGAGACCTTCAAGCCTCTTACAGCTAATGAAGCTGAGCACGACATTGCAGCAGAGGAGAACAGATGCCAAACACAATTCCCTCTGCTTTGATTTCTTGTAGAATATAAGAACCCTGCTCATAAAGCCTGTGAATGCTGCTGAGATTCACACCTGGCATCACAGCATAGTCCCTTTTCTGAACTGTTCATCATAGGCAGGAAAAGGCTGGACTTACCTATGGCAAAGCCCATGCAAAAGGCAACATCAGCTATTGCGTACACGCTGCCGTAGACTGATACGTGACGCAGATCTACGAGGTAGCCCATAATTGGCATCATGGAGGAGTCCACCATTCCTGATTGGGAGGGAAGGAAAAACAGTTCAGGAAAATCCTGCCCTTTTTTTTCCCCCCCTTTTAAATGTCTTGGCCAACTGTGTGCTACAAAGGGATGCAAAGACAACTAAAGGACGCTTATTTTTAAATAAGATGAAAGATTTGTGCAAGAGTAGACTGTGTTATCCGTGTTTCTTATGGTCTTTACTTGTCTGAGGTCATGTATGGACACACAGACAGGTACATGTGACACTTGCCAGCAAATCTGCTAACCAGCCAAGCACTAAACCCAAGCCACGGTCCCCACCAACCTGTGTGCTCCAGCATAAGCAAAGCTCACACATATCACTTGAAGCCTTGGGAATTCCTATTTGATGAACACAAATTTAAGCTTTTTTTCTTTTTTAATATGAAAATATCTATATAAATTCTCTTCCACAACAGGGAAGTCTGTGGGTTTCGGGCAATGCATGGCTTCATTTCTGAAAACCATATATACATCCATGGACATTCATTTGAAAGGTCTGTTTAGGTTGATGGAGCAATTCTGGGCACACCTCAGAATCCAGCTTGTCTAACAGAGGCCTGGATCCTTTAATCCTTCTTACTCTACCTACCAGTCTGGGCCATAGCTCAGGCTTCACTACTGTATGATTGGAATGGCAACAAAACTTATTTTCCATGGAACTTCATATAAAATCATGTTTAACATAAACAACAGAAGTCATTGTAATTTTTCTTACCAATGGCGAATCCAACTCCAAAATTTGGTGCTATGAGCCCATAAATGTTTTTAGCAAATGGCACCTAGAAAGGAAATGTAGGCAGTTAATTATGTCACACTGTAAATGCGGATGAGTTTTCTTCTTCTAAGAAGTAGTTACAGCACACTTTGTATGGATGCGAGAGTCAGAGTTTGATCCTTGTTCTCAGCTATCATTTCAGACAACTGTGCCATTAAACCACTGACACACTCACTATTAGGAGCAACACTAATACTACTCACTACTCACACACTGTTGAGTGACAGCTCAAAAAAAAGATCATCTTTCCTCTTTCAGAGCCATTCTTCCTTAAAATAACTGAATCATTGAAATTTGAAAGCACTCAAAACTCTGATCTGGAACCTATTAACTACACATTGTTTAGTAAAATATCATAAAGCAAAATTTCATGGGGAAAGCACATATTTGAAGATGAACACACGAATATTTAGATGATTTGAAAGATACATGGTCGTCTACTTACACATAAAATACTTATTCCCACGATTAGCATCCCGAGTAAAGCACAAAGCCACCTATCAAAGAAGAAACATCACTTACAGATTGGTGATACTGAGATGTTAGAGCTGATCTTGAATGCTTCAAAGCCATGTTTGAAGTGCCAAGTTACACCACCAAAGTACCAAATGTTCCAAAAAGCTATTTTGTTACTATAGAACAAACTTTAATAATTTCCACTATCACTAAACTGCCCTGGAAAACACTGGAAATGGTACACACAGACTGGAAGATTATTAGTATTTTTAAATTAAGCCTACCTTCCCATTTTATGTGCGAGTATCCCAAACAGATTAGTCCCAATAAGATAAGAGATACTGGCTGGAAGAAAAGCAACACCTGAAAAATATGAATGAGATCTTTTATCAGCAAGGATTTTAGTGAAGTGTTAGAAGAAACTAATAAATTCCAGACACTGCAGTTTTGAGTTGAACACATCTAATAGAGCCTTTGTGCAGAGCATGAAGAATCAAATATCCGGTTCGTTGCAGCCCTCTCATGAAATCTAAGGGCATCATCTATGAAATGTGGGAGCGACGTGACGCCTTTGAAAAGAGTTTTTCAGCATCAGCTGCAAGAACTGATATGGGAGAGGCGATGGAGCAACAGAGAGCCAAAAGTTTATGTCTAACTACAATAAGGTTTGGCATAGGTCAAGGAAAGCGACTCTTTCATGGCTGGGTGGCTTATGGAGCATATGCTCAGCACATGCAGCAAGCCTAGTGTCAGGGGTGGGTGAATCCCTCTCCCTGGAGTGGGGGGCAGCAGGGCTGCTGCTGTGGCTTGGCAAGTCAGATCCCCCTCCATGGCTATGGATGCCACTAGGCCTCGTGTTACAGGTGAGTTTGAAATGCCATATTATGAGTAGCGACTGAAGTCAAGTGTATGTCAATAATGTAAAGGTGAAAACACCACCATAAAAATATGGCTTTAAAATTATTTAGTCAATGTATTTACAGTCAAAGTTAACTAAAAAATAGCTATTGGCTTAAATTAAAGAAACTAGTTATCTGTAATGACTTACAGATGATGGCACACAAATCCATTCTGGCCCTGGTGGGAGGCTACCCGGACCCTCCCATCTCCCCCACATCCACTTGGAAAAACATATCGTTAGGAACAGCAATATTTTCTAGTCTCAAGGTTTCCACAGCAGCAACCGTACCTGGAATGGTACACATGCTGGCTGCATGATGGACAGAAACAACTCTGTACCTGAGGATTCATCCTCTCCCTACACAAAAGTCGCAGGGCAGGAACCCAGCCAGAGGGGAAATGTCAAAGGAAGATGTGCTAATGTAGAGCCCCGTGTGACATTGCCTTTACTGCCTGGAGAATACCAGGGAATGCCCTGGAGGAAAAGACACTATATGCAAACTACCCAAGGGGCAGAGCAACAGGGTGGTTGTGCCCAAAGCTGGATCCTTGTGTGACAGTGTTGAACGGATCATGTGTCTTAGAAGAAATAACACCCAGTATTTTTTCTGGTTTTCCTGTTAAATTTCACATCTTCTTAAGAAAAATAAACTGGGGAAGTCTGTCAAACAGTGCATGCCACAACAAACCTGCCATTTGGTCACCATTCAGTCAGATAATTTAGCCGTGACATTACAGTACACAATCTAACCTTTTCCTTTAAGTGTATATGGTCCTCATCTTTCACCAAGGCAACATAGATTTTCTCATTTCCTGCCTATCCATCTTCCTTCTTATCTCTCTGATATTCATAAGAAAAAAATCAAGAGGTCATTTTTAGCAGAGCAATATCCTGTGATTGAAATCCTTGTGGGTTACAATGGTGATGCTGGGGAAACATTTTCACCTGCGTAACCGCAGCTACTTTGGTACTGCTTGGAGCTATCTGTTTGTACCAAGCAGTCACATAGAGCAGACCTTGACAGCTGGAAGAAAATAAAGAAATATACTACAAAGACTTGCAGGTTGGTTTGCAAGCTGTGGGATACTGAAGTAGACCTGTCATTTTCTAAATAAGCTTTATGCACAGTAACATTAATTGATCAAATCAAGGTTCTTTACACCTTCTTCAGATCATGCTTCAAACAGCTGGGCCTCTAAATTGCATAAGATAACAATTTGCTTAGAACCCTGCAGTTCAAGATATAATTTAAGAGGCTTAAAAACTTTAATTAATGCTGTCAAATCAGATAAAGTGTAATGCAGTCAATTACTTATATCATTAAGGGGTAAAATTAGTCTTTATTTAGAATGGATCTTTTCCTTTTAAGAACCTCTATTCCAGTAAGAGATTTGTAAATCTCATTTCCTTTGCACCAGTAATATGAAACTCTTGTGAGGGAGGTAGGTAAGAATCTTTCTCTTTGTGAGGTTTAAAATATCTAAGTGCGTGTGTGTTAGTTTTGCTGTATTACAGGCTAAGGAGTCACTACTGTGTTCAATAGCACAGCAGCACATCGAGAACTGCTACCTATAGCTGCCCTAGATCCGGGTTGCATTAATTAGAACTAAGGTTTGTGCTTTCTATATGGTGTAGGGACACCTATGTGAACACACAGTAGGAATATTAGTCAAATGCTAGCAGAATGTAACTTTCAGGAAGGATTCTTATTTTCCTTGTAAATGCCATATATTGATATTAAAAAATACTCCCATGAAATGCTGCAGCACAGAACACTTCATTAACTTTATCAAATAGATATATGTAGTGTTCATAACGATAACTCTTTCTTACAAACTATTATAAAGGTAAACATCAGTCAGATCGATGCAAAGGACCAGCACTACGCCAAACACCCCCCAAACAAGCCAATTCACATCAACATGGTTTCCTGAGACCACATCCCTGTTACAGGTTGTAAGGTGGTCCAAGCTGGGTCTCTCCCATTGTTCTCTGTTGAATGCGGTGACACAGTAGCCACTGAAAGGGTATCAAATCTATCAGATTCCAGCAAAAGTGCTTCTCGTGTCCTTGGTGGCCATGTTTTAAGTCTATACTTCTTTCACGTGTTACTAGAAACATCCCTGGAAGGAGTATGTGCTGGCATTAGCATGATGTGCAGCAAACATAGTGCACCAGCTGCAGATTTCTGAGGCCGCCTGCTCCTGGCAATTCAAAATAGTAGCTGAGGATGGATTTCTTCTGGGAAAAACCCCAACAGAACAACCCAAACACATTGTTTTGCCCCAGGGGGCTGCCTTTGTGGCTCAACAGGCATCTTTGCAGCTGCCCCAGCCAACATTCACTGCCAGATGTGCTGCTGGGGCTCCCAAAGAAGCCTCTATTCCAGTAACATTGATCTACTACCTATCTTTCTTACAGACCAATGTTTGCAATTGTGCAGGTGTAACACTGAAAATATAAAGCTAGTAAAAACAAAATCAGTACCCTGAAGCTTATAACAAGACCATCATTAACAGACCAGAACTGAGACAGTCATTAGACAAAATACAGAGATGCAAATAATATATTGTACTTTACCAAGCTGCCATTTCTTTGAACACATGGTCTCCATCATCCAGATGGGTAGAGCTGGTTCAAGCATAGCAATAGCCATGTTTGCAAAGCAGATTGATCCTTAGGGAAAGGAGAGGGGGAAAAAAATAGTAATTATTTCATTTGACTATGGACAAAAAGCCATGCAAAGAATGGATGCTTTTACATAAAACACTGCACTTTTTACAGTTCTATTTGTTGTGCATTGATTAATGTTAAATAGAACAGAATGTAAAAATCACTGAAGACTTCTATATATATTTCTATTCTCCTAGAAATTCTACAATAAAGGTTAAACTACTTTCATAATGTGAAAGTTTGCAGTGAGCTTGATGATATTTAGAAAGTTCATGAGGTCTGACTGTTGTACAAATGATTAGCTAAAACTACGGTCTTTTGGTCTTTATCTAGTCTCCTGGGGCAAAACCGGAGCCCTGTTGTGTAAGAGACACCAGCTCTGACCCTACACCTCCCTCATCTGAGAACAACTATCATAAGATGTGGAGGTCTTGATCCTAAAAATACCAAGAGACAACCACAGAGATGTCTATCCCCTACAAAAGGGAATTCAGTGTCAAGATCCTTTTGCCAGCAGCCAGTAAATCCATGCTGCAGAACATGGGTTTGGCTGAGCTTGCCCAGCCCTATGAATTTCAAATGCTTCCAAATCTCTTTTGAATTGCTGGACCTTTAGTCACGCAGATGCAGAGGATAACAAGAGGTGGAAGTGCTGATTCAGTCTTGCCCTCTAGCTCAGCTCTGCCCTTCATCACCGCCTGCAGAGCCAGACTCCAGTGGGTTTTTGTTGAGTTCATCTATCCTCAGTTGTGCACTTCAGCTTTAGCGCAGGGATTATTAAATCCCATGGTATTTCTTTGGATTCAAGATGCCTTTCCCACTTACTCAAAATATCCCAAGGCAATCGAAGGCTAATGCAGGGCAATGGGACATGTCCCTTTCGCTAATCCCTCACAAAATGGCTTTGGAAGTCACTGCTGCAAGTGACATCCTCAAAGTTGTGTTCCCACTGTTCTTCCCAGGATATACAACCTCTGAAATTTAGGAAAACATTCTGAACTCCCAGAGCCATTCACCATTCAAATTTTACTTTTCTTTAGAAAATTTGTCTGAGGGCACAGAAACATTATTTCTCCTGGAACAAGTCCCTCATCACGCAGCTCAAAACAAAATGAGCACTGATGCCATTCTTTGCTCAGACCTGTCAGAATACATTAGACCCTGTATCCACAACTCCCAAAATGAACCTGGCTCACTCCCTTCCTCGGGCAAGGAGCAACAGTTCAGGACTGCTTTACCCTAAAGAGGAAAGCTAACCTTTCCACTCCAGTGCACGCTCCCACTAGTGCGGTGTCTGTGAGGAGCCCCAGTCAAACACCTCAGGGTTGCCCTCTTCCAAGCCAATATCAGCCACGCTCAAGCAGTTTCCTTGATGCTCGATAAACACATTTCAGGCCACACAAAGCACAGCCAGAGGAAGCAGGGCTGTTCTAACGGAGACGATTAAATAGCAAAGGTCTTGTTCTACTCTTAACAAACTTCACAAAGAGATGAGATACAGGCGAGCATGCACACGTGTGTGGCATTGACTTCTCATTAGGTCAGGAAGCATCACCAGAGCTTAGCAAAGGACTCAGGTATATGATGGCAAAGGAACTTCAGATCTTTATAGGGTGTACCCCAAGAGGAAAGTGAGAGCCTGAGGTGGTACCCTGAAAACTCAGAGCAAAATCCAATGAAGGATATGTTACCTTAGCAAAGCTTCCCCAAAAGAAGATTATATTGCTTTTCTTCGCTGTGTCTTGCACAGAGCTGACCTCTTTTTAAAGGGTTGTATCTCAAGGGCATAAACCCTACAATTTCTTCTTGAAATTGGATTAAATGTCCTGTGTTGGCCAGAATGTGTGAAGCTGCAACCTTCCAGCTGGATCCTATCTCTGTAGCAGAGAACACAGCTTCTGGCAGAGTGACATAGGCATCCCTGCTATTTCCCCATGATAAAGCATTACTCAGTGAAAAGCTGTCACACACCTTCTCAAGAAGCCATGTGCTCATGATGATATCTGTCTCAACTTCGGGTTTTGGATCTGATAGTTTAAACTAATGTGTTTATTGCCTTACAATAGCTATTGCTAGCACTGAAGGCATCCAGGCATTAGGACTGGCCATAGGGCTTCGATATACAGGGAGTGAATGAGAGCACTGGCCTCCTGTCTGTTGTGACAGCCAACATTATTAACTCCAAGCAAAAATGGTTTTAGCAAGGGAAAAAGTTCCATTTTCAGAAAGAAGAGAGAGGAACTCCATGCTTAAGTTCAAGACACCTTGTGTTCAAGAGTAATATTGTGCTATAGATAAGCCAAATTGGTCAGAAAGTGCTTGTACTTTGAGAATACAAACAATTATGACTCAAGCGCATGACGCACGCTCAGGAGATTGAATCTGAATTTGTACCATGAAATCAGTGTACCTAAATCAAAAGTGCAAGAAACACTGAAACTGCCATGCCCATTTGCAGCGTGCCTAAAGTGTCCTTGGATTTAACAGTGATTAACAAGTCAGCTCGCTAGAGATGTGGTCAATTTTTAATGAGGAAGTTAACTGCCTTAAAAGCCATTCAAAACCTCTAATCTTCCAGAGCAGTACAAACCCAATGGGACTTTTAGCCTTCTCCTCTCTAATCACTGTATCTGAACATCATACACAGTGTGGGATGTCTACATTCACAGCATCCTTGTGAAGCAGAAGACATTACCCTGGCTTAGATATGGAGAAATGTGGCATGGTGCCTCAACTGATTGCCCCAAGGTGTCAGAGCACGGAGCTAGCTCTGCCATCTCAACCAACCACTTACCCACCCTTCCCTGTTAGCATCAGGATCAAGTTCCCATCTTAGAAAATAAAGCAAGGAAAAGACCAAACTCCTCAGGGAAAGGAAGAACAAATGAAACTTTCATACCCTTTTCACCGTAAAAAAGCAACAGCTTCACAACTGAAGCAATTAATATTTAAGCAGTGTATTCCTGGAGCATCAGGAAAGCTGCTTTTGGATTAATGTGCTCTCATAGGCCAAATAAAAGGCTGAATTTATAGCTGGTATTTGGTGTTCAGCTCTGACAAAACCAAATTTGGTTCGTAAGGGAAATAAAGCAGGAGGATAAGGGGCTGAGGTGAGAGAACATCAGCATCATCCATACTGTGAAAGAACTGAGCAGTCTCCATCCCACAAGGCAGAGACCCTGGGTGCTGCACCTAACCCCACTGATAACCCATGGGAGGGACTTTCTCATATCCTAGTAGCTGATGCCTTGTAGGAGCAGGACAAGTCACCCAGAGCAGGAGGGATCAGAACAGAGTCTTCATGTTTCTACGCTCTGTACATCCTTCCTTTCCCTGCCTCCTATTGAGTCCAGCTGCACTGAATCGAAGATAGGAAGGGGAGACAGGGGGCACTGGGAATGTTTGAGAGCATGGGCAGGGAAGCAAGAGGCAAAAAGATCCATGGACGTATAGGTAAGATCTCTGACACACACTACCCTGATTCCAGGCCATCCGCCCCCAAGTCTTCTTCACCACTTTGGGGCTCTGAGACTGCTCAGCCCTGCTTGACAGAGGCCCAAAATCTCAGCTGAAACAACTTCAGAGAAGAGAATAGCTGCAGAAATTGAGTGCCATGTAAATGTGTTAGAAAATGGGAACAAAGTCCATCCCTGCTATCAGCATACACAGGACATGGTTAAAATAGTGGGATCCATGTTCCTTGGTACCATCCCTCTTCTGTGGCTAAGACTAAGCTTGAAAGGAGTAGCTAAATCTTAGTCAAAGTACCCCTTAAAATCAGTCTCCTTGTCATATTTCATGGTGTAAACCAAGTTCTGTCACAGATTAGACATTGACAGGGATTAGATGTCTAGAATATAACATTAGATGAACCTCACCTTACAGCACCTGCTTTAACCACTGCAAGAGACAAGGTACCAGGTTATATGAGTGATAGATCTGATCTCTTATGACAGATACTGTCTTTGCTACTCTTTTCCCCTCAAGTACTTCTATTCTATGGAAAGGTCTTTTAATGCTCCAAGAAGTTCTCAAGCAGACGTGTTTGTACAACTTCAGTCACAGCTTGACCAAGTATCCAGTCACAGGGTTGTTATTTCCCTAAGATTAAGGTTAATTCCCTAAGATCACCAAGAAAGAGAAAAACAAGAAATGCTTGGAAGAACTGTTGGATAGCAGGTTAAGACTAAGAAACAAAACAGTGAAAATAATTATCTGTTTCCAGGCGTTGTATCAACATTAAAACGGGCCAGACTTAATTATAGACTTCAGAATAAACATCCAACAAAATGCAACACAAAAAAGCGAACTTCCTTTGAGACAGAACAACTTATTAGACAAACAATACATGTAATACCAAACGCCATTCACCATTCAACCCAGACCTTTTCTGAAATAGAATCCATGCTCTAGAGACCAAACTCGCTCCCTCTCTCCAAATGAAAACAGAAGCTCAGTGTTACTCCCTATGCCTGCCTGTGATATACTGGCAAACCCCCCTCTAAAGCCTTGGTCCTATTCACTTGCCTCATAGAAAGTTCCATGGTCATGTTTCACTGCCCTGACAAGCAGCTTCAAGTCATTAGTGTCCTCTCAGCTAGAAATACACCTTCATTTCAAGCTTCCTGCCTTTTTTATATATATATACACACATATACTGGTATATTCATCCTATATTACCAACAGGTTCTTTGAGCTTCATGTAAATGAAACCAGCAATGACAATATTGTTAAACCAGCTCAATCTGAGGCATTCCAGGTATAACACCAAAGGCTTAAAGAAAAAACTAAAGGATGTGGTACCTGCTGCAATAATGATATATGGGTCCTTCAAAAGTGTCAGTAACGGCGTCCCCTTCTGACTCTATGAAACAAAAGCTTGAGATTAGGAAAAGCAAAGTGTCATCCATTGCCTAGAGTGTTTTACCTTAATACTTACTTCTGCCTGTGCTCTGGATGGCTGCAGAACAAATAATTGAACAGCTGTGAAAAGAAATCAATACTGTAACATTTCTTCAAGAAGGGGGTTAGACAGTAATATGAAAGGGATGTGCTGCATGGTGATATTGACTCTTAGTATTTACTAACCTCCATCTAACAGAGCTAGTGCTGCCAGCACCAGGAAAGGAGAACTCTTCCCCACAAACTCATACATGACGCTCCCAAAAGGTGGACCCACTGGCAGGGAGAAAGAAAGGACATAGCGGAAAAGCCACACCTCCGAACAAACATCCTCTGCAAGCAGTTGGGTGTCCTGCTATTGGCATTCAGTGACCAAAAAGCTCAGTTTAAAAATCCTCATAATGTCAATGATCATGACAATAACCATATCCTTCACTCCCAAGGCACTCTTCCATGTAAACAAACCCCATATTGCCCGACATATATATCAACATAAGAAATGTGCTGCTCTGGGAAAAACTGTTCTTAACATGCACTATGGATCTAACGTGGAAACAGCACAATAACATTACACACAATGAGACTCCTCTGCTGCTTTCATAGATCACAAGCACATGCATTAGGAAGACTGGGGTGTAGTTTCTCTTGCCAGCAGAGACTCCAACTCACTGACCTAAGACTCCCATAGCAAGGCCTCCTAGTGCAATTCCCATTGCATTGCCTCTCTCTTCATCATCTGTGTATACACTGGCAAGCATTCCCATCCCTAAAAAGGAAAAATAACACCACAAATTTAGGCATCTGTACACTGCAGTTTATGGTCATCATTTGCCAGCCCTACTGAACATTATACAGAGGCAACAGGAGGTATTTGCATATATATATAT